GTAAGGCATTCCTTCACTTTAACCTTATCTTGCGTGCCTCTCCCGTGATGTTGTTATGATCCTAGCTTGAGCCATCCCTCTCCTGTGTTAAACATCTCGACGGTATAGTTATTAACCGAGACTGAGATATCGCCTTGCTCGTTCCTCCATCTAGCCCAACGCTGCCACTAAACGTGTTACCCTATACACGGGCCGTGCAACATGGCCGCACCATAAAGCTAACCACCCAACATGTTGTTGTGATGATGATCATTGAGTGGGCAATTGGCTTCACTCAGCGCGCTGAAATGACAGCGGCGCGGAACATATGGGGGTCACGTAGAAGTTCATTGAGGGTGGCAGAAGCCATGTCACAACATAAATGCGTCGCTTGTAAAACACAGCTGTTCTCCCAGCGTGGTGAGTGAGTCATACCGCTGCCACGGGTGGGGCGGTGGGGGTGCCTTATCGCCCGGTCAGCCCCGTGCGAGTAGGTTTTCACGGGTTGAATCAAACCTAGTGTTAGTGTGGGGGCAGGGCTATTCACTGCTACATGTCAACCTCGAGAAGTCCCAGACCTCTGCTTCCCTCCTGGCTAATGGCAGCACAGCGTGCTTCCTGGTATGTCAATGATGATGTGGCCTGTGAAGTGAGTGGGGGTGTGATGAAATAAAGGCCTCTTGGTTCCCCTGGCTAGTGTCAGGCAGAGAGAAGCCAGGAGGGCAGTTATGGCGTACGTGTCAGTTATTCTGCACAGAGGCGCCTGCCCTGTGTGTGTACCGCTTATAGCCTCTCTACCACCACCATATAAGCGCCGACACCACCACCACCACCACCAGCAGCAGCAGCAGCACCACCGTCACCGCCATCGCTGCTGCCGCCACCTCCAGCAGCAGCAACACCACTACCAGCAGCAGCAATAAATAAATAAATTAAACATTAGGACTATAGATCGATACCCCATCCCCTGTGGGTTTTCGGACTAGTGGGCTTTCGGACTAGTGGGTTTTCGGACTAGTGGGCTTTCGGACTAGTGGGTTTTCGGACTAGTGGGCTTTTGGACTAGTGGGTTTTCGGACTAGTGGGCTTTCGGACTATTGGGCCGTCGGACTAGCGAGCAGTCACCGCGTTATACTGGTTAATATTCCAATAACCCTCACCAAAATATAAAATAGGTTATCTGTGACAGAATTACTCGGTCTAGGAGCAGTGTTGCTCGGAGCTATGCGCACAGGTTACACAAACTCGCTCTGAATATAACAGCTTTACACGTTACGGAAATACACCTGTGTGTAGTAGATACAATAATGTAACCCAAACACAGGATACTTATAGGGGGAAAACACACGATGTAAACCAAAACCTATTCTGTGTTTGGGTTACATTGTTGTATCTACTGTGTGGAGGTGTCAGGTAGAGCGCAGAGAGCGATGAGCGGCGGTTGCTCGTCAAGGCGTGTGATCGAGTGATAATATTAGAAGTGAATAATAATAGATTATAATATAGTAATAATAATATATATATTAATATTCACTCCTGATAACTTTTTTCCACGTCGCAGGCGGGCGTTAGTTAGTTAGTTAGTTAATTAGTTAGTTAGTTAGTTTGAGCAGTGTAGCGGCTCAATCGTATAAATCTATCCGTATACGTAGCTCTGCAACCATTAATACTCTCTGCGCTTTTCGCGATTATTATTAATTATTATTATTATTAGCAGTACTTAGTAACATTAATTAGTATTAATGAAAACATGCACCACGGTGATTTAGTTTCGAAATATTATATCCGCACTGTGTATATGTATGTGTGTGTGTGAGGCGTGTGTGTATAGCGTGCGCGTGTATAGCGTGCGCGTTGGGCAATGCTGTATGGATGAGTGTGTATAATTATATGCTGATGTGTGCATTCTTGCATTTCCGATGATCATCAAGCCGTGATGGATGGTGATGTATTGCCCCGGGCCTCTCACGTACGTACGTGCGTTCATTCCACCACCACCACCACCAGGTGATTTTATAGGTTGGCTCCGGGCACCGCCCTCACTCACACGCACAGCATGCGTGCATACATCAGCTGATTCACGCTGCTGCTCGGTTATATTACCCCCGTGCTGACACTGTTTATTTACGTAGGTATAGTGTAGGTCGCGGTGCATGTGTCTAGTTAGCGTTCGCCACACTATTGTTGTTGTGTTTTGAAGCGTTAGTGGTGGGGATGGGTGGTGTGTGATTCCGTAGATGCCCTATAGTGGAAGTCAACATTTATTTTGGTAGTTTTAGACACAGGCACTTGGAACGTCTCAATAAATAAAAATAATGGTAAATAAACACGAAATGTATTTACTACCAAAGTCTTAATGTTTCTGTACTCTATTTCGCCTATTTTGCCGATAATTACTTGTAAATGCCGCTCAAATGCTCATCTGCAACACACAAGTACACCGCACGCACACCCTGTGCACAAACAACAAGAAGAATTTAAGAAAAAACTCTTCTTGTTGATACTTGAACTTAAGTTCTAGTTTCGTGTTCCCAACTGATGATAAATATTTTGGGGCGATGCGTAAAATTGATGGCTGTTCTTGTATGTGTGTGTGCGTGAGTGCGTGCGTGCGTGCGTGCGTTTGTCTGTGTGTGCGCGCGTGTGTGTACTATCACGTGTATGTACTGAATAGAGACCACAGAGAAACGGGTCATTATGTCTAAAGGAATTTTAAAAAAAGCTTGCGCTGATTATCATAAGGATGTCCTAAATAGTGTCTATGAAGCGCGAATGCTTTCGTGTGGAACGGTCTGGAAATGTTGCACCTGCAATTATGTTATGAAACATAGAATTACTAAACTTGTCCAATGCACGAGCGGAGTCCTGAATCGGGTAAACATTCATTAGCAAATACGCTTGGCTGATCGACTAAGAAATTGCGTTATCTACGCAATAGTAGCCCATTGCCATGAGTAAATAGTGCTTCTCGGATGGAAATACGATTACGAAACGGTACCCTGTTAATTTCATTGAAAGGTAACTTGGGAAACAGTTACCGTACTGTATAGTTGGAGAGGTGGCGTGCTATTGATATGCGAATATTAAACAGTAAACACACGCACAGTCTTATATAAATAGACGCGTGCCCAGCTTTATTAACGCCGTAGGGAATTCTGTATATTAATAGTGGTAATATACTCTGCATAATCTCTTGTCTGCTCGCTCATGCGCAACTATTTAACAAAAAAAACCTACCAGACTCGCCAATCCGAACCCGTTTCTTATCACAGCGGTTCATCGCTTCTAAGTTGCCGTGTTTGCATCTATACTAATTACGTAATTTTGGGCACCGGGCACGTCCCCACCTATTGTACCTTTAATCAATGTAGCAGAAAATGCAGGTGAAGGTGTTTTTGGCAGCGAGCCAGTAAGAACTACGAAGTTATAGGATGGTTAGTCTCAATGGTCTGGGCGCTCACAAACACATAGTCAGCGTGGCTGGCGTACTTGCGTGTATATGTTTGGCTGTAAGCCAGTAATAACCATGAAAAGCTGTGGGAAGTTAGTTTCAATGCCGGTTGGCGATTGCAAAAAGCAGTTTGCCCACTATGTAACCTTTACAGAGGTAGCTAGATAGTAGATATGCATCTATTATCTAATGTGCATTGTAATAGGTGCATGCATGGGTATAGAGTGAAGAAAATACGAGAATACAGATTCAGTGCTGTAGTGTCAAATTTAAAGGGAGTCAGTTATAGAAAGTTTACTGTAAATTATTAAATTACATTAAAGGCACATCATAACAGCAGGATCACATCTTGCATAACACACTGAACCGTGGTTCTGGCATCTGTGTGTGTGTGTGTGTGGGCCCTGTGGGGGGGTATTAGGTTTTTAACGCCAATTAACATGCTAAGAGTCGTTCATAGATAGGTGTATATTCCTTAGAGGTGGTTTCACTTCATAACTGCCAAGGTGTATATTCCTTAGAGGTGGTTTCACTTCATAACTGCCACTCAAGAGAAACACTAAAAGTGTTCTTTATAGACAGGTGTCCGTTCTATGGAGGTGTTATATAGCCAACGCAGTCTCGACCGTTATCGGCGAATAGACTTGTCTCCGTACATCCAGGTAGCCCCGTGGTGGTTATCTGCTAGCTACCTATAGCTCTAAAACTATAGGCCTATATGGCCTTCGCTCGGCCACACACACACACCTGTGGCAGAACGAGGGGCTATAGTTCTAGAGCTACTATAGCTACCACACGTTTATATTCTGCTCGGCGCTGCTTTGAAAAATAAGAGCGATCGATCATTCGCGTAAAAGGATGTGAACGCTGCCAAACTTTGCCGAAGATCGCCCCCGCACTCGCCGCCTTACGCGCCCGTTGTTCGAATTCCACGCGCCGTGCGATCGGTGTCTTGAACTTGGGCGTAGATTGCGTGGATGAATAGACGGTGAGACTGACGTCATATTCCAACCGTCGCTGCTATCTGTCATCTGTGCTGTGAGATTCTTCGGTGATGCCGCTACAGTCGGTAATGCCCGTGGCGAATTTGAACTCGTGCTCGGAATGTAACAGAATGCGCTGTTTGAAACGTAATTTACAAAAAATGTTCCCTCCCCCCCCTGCCATTGGTAGGCACCTTCACCGGTCGTGTACCGCTGCTGATAACTGCTTTATTGGTCATAAGCTTTGTGAAAAATCAGGTTTATTAATTATGAATTTATAATTCCAAATTAGACTGTTGGTCATGGCTGCACATCCAGTAAGCATTTCGAAACTGTTTAGGTATCAAATTATGGACACTGTACGAATTAAAATTAAATGACGAATTGCATTTGGGTAGATGTGTGGAGGTGATGTTACATCGATGAGTCATTAACAGGTCGTATTTGTGTTTTTTGAATGGGTGTGTGGTGGTGCTGTTACATCAGTGGGTCATTAATGTGTTACATTTCTTTTTTTAATAGATGTGTGGTGGTGCTGTCACATCGATGAGTCATATTGATGGTTCGCATTTGTGTTTTTTGAATAGATGTGTGGTGGTGCTGTTCAACCCGAAACGCAACAAGCAATCATTCCTGATCAACGCCAGCAAGAAGTCCATCACAAGCCTCGCATTCTCTCCCGATGGCAAGTACCTCGCTACCGGAGAGGTAAGTGACGACTCCCCCTTCTCCTCCTCACTGTATTCCTCCTTATAACTGTATATGAATGGGTTAAAGCTACAACATCTGGCAACAAAAATTGCCGTCAACAGCACACGTCGACGTGTGCTGTGACGCGGCAAAAGCCACAAAAATTGCCGACCACGAAAATTGCCTGTACGAGCAACAAAAATGGTGAAGTGTGCTGCGTGCTTTAGACAAAACGCTCAACAAAGCATTTGTAGTCTTACATTTGTATTTGCGTATCCTAGCTAGCATGTGTTCCGGCCATTGTATGCCGTTGCGTGAGATTGATTCTCTCTATATGAAAAAGGTTTCTTGGAAAGTAGCAAGATCGTGTTTCCTAAAGCAAAAACGGGCCAATCTATGCGATAAGGCTTTACGAGTTGTTATTGTATTGAATGTATTCGTTCTCGTACACTGTAATTACGTTTAGGCTGTAAATCACACCATGAGCTGAATACATATAGCTAATTGGGTAAGCTAAATCTTTACCGAGGGCAATATGAACGTAATTACCATCTTCAATGTGGATTTGTTTTGCTGTGAATGAGCTGTTGTGGAAGTTTCTTACTGCGATGTTGAAAATGTCCCGTCTGATGATTTATGGGGGACACGGCGGCTATTTACCAACTGTCTGTGATGTTCTATGGGACACACACTGCATCAAGAGCAGATAAAGAAGGCCTTCTTTATCTGCTCTTGACTGCATGCATCGTTATGCTCATTACTAACTACGACTCGCTGACCATGAGGTTTCCAGTATAAACATTTCTAACGCTCATATTGAATAAACATTGCGGTGCCTCATACAGATCGGCCGTAACATGTTAGCGTGTAAATACGATGTTAATATTTAGCTTTCGCTTGGCGTAAGCGAACAAATATTTATAATTAGCGTTGTTAGTTCTAGCCAGGTGTAGAGGTGCAGCGTTTGTCTGCTATTAGTTGGTCTTACTGGAACAAATCCAACTCAAAAGTGGGGCATTTCACTTTGTTTGTGTAGTATTTGATCCACAAATCGCTGTGAGTGCTGATATAGCCCCCTCCTTCTCCTCCCTCCTCCCCCTCCCCTCCCACAACATTCAAATATTGACCCAAGTTTCGGAGTAATAATATAGCCCCCCCTCCCTCCTCCGACCCCGCCCTCCGCCGACCACGCGTGAGTGTTGACCCATAGTTTGATATGGCAGATGGTGAGATACGGGTTTTCCAGCGATGTGCTGGTTCTACAGTCGTCGTCGTTTGCCGTTAACGTTGTTAACTTCGAATTGCTGAGCTGTGTGCGTGTGTGTGTGTTTGTGTGTGTGTGTGTGTGTGTGTGTGCGTGCGTGCATGTTGGTGTGTGTGGTTAGTTTTAGCTGACTGCATTTGATGGCAGGCATTGGCAACGAGGTGGTTTAGAGGTCGCGTGGGACGCGCAGTTACTTGTTACTACCAGTTATAGTTGACAACAAGCAGCATGCGACAATCGGGTCAGCCTTTGTGTGACAACTGTCTCATAACGTCGTCGCCCTGGAGCGACGTGTAGCCATGATGCCTTCCGGCAATTTCTTTTCCTTGCTTTTAGTAGCTCGTCTAAATAGCGGATGTATGGCGAGAGATGGAGCGAGACAGAAGCGGGGAGGGAGAGAGAAGAGGAGAGAGGGGTACGGAGGGAGGGAGAAAGAGGAGAGAGGGGGGTGTTGGAGAGAGCGAGAGAGAAGAGAGAGGGGCGAGAGAGGGGCGAGAGAGAGGAGAGAGGGGCGGAGAGAGAGAGAGAGAGAGAGAAGAGAAGAGAGAGAGAGAGAGAGAGCGAGAGAGCGAGAGAGAGAAGAGAGCGCGAGAGATCTAGAGATACATCAAAACGAAGCATGTACAGTTGTGGGAGAGGCTTGGAGGCTCGCTGAAACTTTAGTCATTGATTTGTGGTTAGACACGAATAAGATCAAGATCTAGGCGATTATACTGACGCGCCGCACCGCACGGCTAATGATCGTAACAACTACACACGCACTGTCAGCACTGCTGCCTCTACCGTACGTAGCCTTGAGAGAGACTTCTACAGGTTTAATTATTATTCCAACGTGCAGGTGCCCGTATTATCTAGCGGTGATGTAGCGTGCGCAGTGGAGATTAGTGCAGTGAAAAATGGGAAAGCACGTAAAAGTTTTCGATCGTCGCATTTTCGTAGACTCTCGCAAGAGATTATACGTGCGTTAGTATATTAAATTAAAAACCACACTCAGTGTTTGTTGCACGTCTCACTGCATCGACTTTTCTATCGTCGCGCATTTTCGTAAACTCGCACATAGAGATTACGTGCGTTAGTGTATTTAACCAAGTGTTTGTTACTCAACTCACTGCCTCTAAGCGCATTTCGGAGCCTGTGCGGTTTCCGGGTTTCTTGCGACGGCCCCTGGACCACAACGACTCGCAGCAGATGCCTTGAGCGCAGTAGTCAGTAGTCACGTATAGCGTCGATGTTGCTATTAACGATGTTATGTAACACGTACACATTACTGGCACGCTATATTCGCGTGGCGTTTCTAGATGTCACGGTTGCTTGAGCCCCGGACCGCCGCCTGCCTCGTGAGTCTGTGAGAGAGTCGTCTGTGTGCGGTTGGAAATTTATCGTTACAATGAGACTTCGACATATAATTCGTTCTGTGTGCGTGCGTGCGTGCGTGCGTGCGTGGGTCTGTGTGTTTGTGTTGCGTGTGTACGTGCGTGCGTACGCGTGTTCGTGTTGTGTGTGTACGTGCGTGCGTACGCGTGTTTGTATTGCGTGTGTACGTGCGTGCTACGACGTGTTTGCATGCGTGTGTACTGCGTGTGTGGAGCAGTGAGTGTGAGCGGGCGTGCGTGCTGCGTTCGCGCTGTTTGTGTTGCGTGTGTGCGTGCGTACGTACGCGCGTGTATGTACGTACGTGTGTGCGTGTGTACGTGCGTGTGTGTGAGCGTGAGCGTGCGTGCGTGCGTACGTGTGTGCGTGTGTACGCGTTCGGGCGTGACGCCTGCACGCATCCCCTATTTAATTAACACTTTGCACCTCACCCTGTCATTAGCTCTCTCTCCGCATCACCGATCAACCGCGCTAACTCGCTCACAACATCGCTGATAGAAATAGAATTGCACGCTTTACATACGTACTGTCTCTCACGCGTAAACAATTAAAATTTTGTTCGCATGCGGAAAGCTCAGGTGTATACACGCAAACCATCACTACATCAATGTAGTATTCACTAACCATCATACACCGATAATAATATCACACATCAGCACTATACTAGTACAACCAAGTAGGCCCAAGTACAGACCGGACATGACAGTGTAATCATGACAGTTTAATATTGCATCTGTAAAACGAGTAAGATGATGACTGTGTATAAATAATATCAGAAGTGATTAATAGGGAACACTATTATCCCTATATCTACTTCTGATTAATATATACTATATATATAGTATATAAATATTATATAGTATAGAAATATATAGAATCAGAGTGAAGTAATAACAGATTATTATTCTATTCATGATTATTATTTATTCACGCCTGCTATAATATAATATTGTAATATAATATTATAATAAATTGCATTAGAATGTGATGATTAATTGGAGTAATTAACTCGTGGCTATGTGCAATTATTGCTTGTCTCATAGTAGACAGTATCATCCTTCACCGGCAGTCCGTAAGACACTGCAGACTGATAGATTAATCATCATTAGCACTATCGGATCTTATATTTTAGACTATGCATCTTCAGAATGAGTCCATAATGTACATGCTGTAGGCTCGATGTCTATGATGACCCAGATATCTTCAAGGTGTAGATTTGTGTGCTATTGAATCGATATCGCGCAAGTACATGTACGCACGGACTATATGATAGCTACCGAGTATATACTCTCACGGCGGTGAAAGAGTACAGGTCAGTGTCTAGGCTCTAGAGGTGAATCATCGAACGTGAGTGTGTATAAAGTCCGTAACGTACGGGCATTTTTACGGGGGTACGTAAGTGTTAACCCTAGAAGCGTGCACCCGCACGCCCGCACATCGTGTGAGCAGACGACCACAAGTTATCGCGCACATATAAGCGGCGTTGTCATCTCCCACAATGAAAATCAAGCGCACCTTTTTGATCATGAAAAGGGATTTAATTCCGGATATTGGCACAATGGTGACATCCGGTGAGCGCGTGTATGAGCCATGAGGTACAGTCTGATGGGGCTGTCGTATGCTCTAGATATAATATATATATATATATATATATATATAATTATATATATAACTATCAAGAGTCCATAATAGAGATGATATCAGGATGATATATGTATATTGATAATATGTATCAGGGAAAAAAGATGGTCACATGCAGAACCATCTAGTTGAAATTTAGATGTGCCCTGAAATTTTAGATGGTCCTCTAATTCAAATTTCAACATTGGTTCTC